ACGATAATAGTGACCCTTCAGGGAATTTAATGTAAGGTAAAATTCAGTATTGTGACTAGAAGTAAGTTTGGCTAACTGCATGATAACTTAAGTGCTCAATGCTACTTCCCCTGCGAACCATGAGGTGTTATTATATATACTATCACCAAACTCGCGTTTCCCAACCATTTATGATAGGTTCTACAGCCCGTTTATCCCGGCGTACCATATACGAGAAAGTACCGAAAGCGAGAATTTATTGATTCTTTTTACAATTACGACAACATCTTAGAAATATTAATCCCCTTCAAAATATTGCCCATTAAATAACAAGCACTTGTGCCAATGGCTTTTTTTCCCTGTTCGAAATAGTTTTATCTTCTTCTGGGCAAAGACCGTTAAGTGTCCGCAGCGATTTTTCCCTCAGCTCTTCTGCGTTCTGAAAGTGCTTTTCCTTTAGGTTTTTATTCATTCTTATGAACAAAAAGAAGACACAGGGGACTAGGTCGGGCCAGTAAGGCGAGGGTGGGGAAGAGTAAGGAACCGTTGTCATGCCATTTTTTGCCAAGACACGTTGATTTTGTACGTTCCGTGAGCAGGCGCAATGTCCTGAGGCGGCAGTCACAACTGAAATCGTTTCTTCTTCTCACTGCCTTAAGCAATCGCTTCAGCATCTGCTACTTACCAGCAGCGTAGCCGAGTGAGAGTAGTATTGGTACTATTATTAACGCTAATAAATGGTCAGAAATGACGCTGATTAAAATCAGCGCTGGGTTCATGTTCCCTCGATTTCAGTAAGTAGTAGGGACCTGGATGTTTGAGGCTCGGAGGACATTAATGGTGGCCCTGGGTTCCATCTTTCTACTTCTATTCACCGAGACTGTGTCAGTTTCTATTAGATTTAGACTGCGAGGGCTAGCTTACAGCTGCTGGAGGTACTATACCAATGCTAGGAGTGCTAATTATGTTAACCATGCGTGCTGGGGCCAGTACGTGCATGTAGGGAATTTGAACCTAATATGCAGTCGTAACCTTATATCGGACAAATAGTAAACTTAAGGGTTAGAGAAGCGTTATTTAATGATAGCTCAGAGTTTACCATGCATTTAGGTCGTAACATAGAGGTATTTTCCGTTTTCCAGGCAAATTTTGACTTACTTCATTATCGAGCTTTCGATAGACAGTGCATAACCGCAGGGTACTGTTTTCCTCATTTTTTGGACGACCAAGGCGACTTTGGACGACGCAATAATCGTTCGATCGAGCATGTTATCTCGTAACTATTTTGCTGTCTGGTAGGTTGCGATAGAAACAACCCAATTTTTAAATATCGTGCTGCTGCTATTTCCGCTACTACTATTCTGCCACTACTAGCCTGCAATATAGGTTATGTAGGCCCCTATAGTCACCAATAATCCCATGGTCGTTGGTGAAGGGGTTTTTAAAGATGGGGTCACACCGAAGACAAGCAGCAAAATGTGTGCAATAGAGCATATCAATCTGTAGATTTCCGCCAAATTTATTCTGCCAGGCGTAAATATAGCAACGCAATTGAAAGTGATATACTAAAAACAACCTCCAGTAAATAAAAGGAATTTGAATGAAAAAAAAACAGGGACTGACATAAACTATCCTTACCAAAGTAGTTTCCGTTTTCTGGATACCCTCTTGTCTTTTGCTTGCTGACGCGACCAGTGGGGAAAACAGAAAGTTCGTGTGTCAGCATAGTTTGAAATATGGACGCGCTCCCAGCATCCCTTGTGATTTTAAACGTTCACCGACTCCCCGTTATGACAGGCTCTACTTATTTCCAGTGTTTAACAGTTTGGGTCAAAACAAAATGAGGGGACTACAAAATTGAGCCTGTATAGGAACGCGAAGAAGGCAGTTGAAAATGTTTGTTTGAATATTAAAATGGCACCTGTGTGCTGATTAGCTTACAATTCTTTTCAAATTAAGGACACAATACCCCTTCCCCTGCCCCCTTCCATCATGGGATCCCTACCAATCTACCACTGTAATTATTACTCAAAAACCTGCTTTTACCCAAATCGTCACCTTATCGGCAGACGCGGCAACCAGCAAAGGCGCATCATGGCCGCATCACTGGCTCTTCGGGATGTTCTCGTCACTCTGCGGTCTCCTTGTGTGGTCCTTCGGATAAAGATATAAGCGCGATGTGCTCCCTCTGGCCTGCCGAAAACATTCTCAGCAGCATGTCCATCCTGTCCTGCACATACTTTCCTTCCACGAGCGACAGTTTTCCTCCTAAAAATTCCACAAATGACATTCCATCTCTTGAACTCTGAGCTATACCTTAGGAGTTTTTTCCACTGTCTGCTCTTTTTGCTCAGTTACACCTGCTGGCGCGTGTTAACTGACGTCACCACATGCGATTGTATCACTTGGAACAAGTGGGTAGTCACCTACCGATGCATTTCCTCACTATTGTGTACCAATAGGGAGTTCAAAGGCGTTTGCCTATATTCCCCATAATAAACTTGACTTGAATAATCTCTGTTGGGTCTTCTAGAGAGTTAAACCTGATTTGTTTGCCTCTTCTTCCTTCTTCTCCTCATCCCTCTGTACCAACACGCCCCTTTCGAGCCTTCTCACAGAGTGGAAGCTCTTCATGTGAATAACTTCTGAGGTTGATCACTTTTTTCGTACGTGGAACCCTCCCCCAGCCCTTTTTTCTCCTATCCACGTTGTCTGTTTGTTTTTTCTTTCATTCGCCTACGTTGCGTCACAAACCTCTAAAATGTGGGTTCTTCTGATCTTCCTGCAGAGTTTCCCACGACCCTTGGCGCCTACGACACGGTTACGCCAATCGAGGCTTCCTCCAACCCGCGCGTCTCCGACGCCCTCGGTTTTCCCACCCAGTGCTTCAGGGCCTGGTCTCCGCGCCTGGCTTCACCCGTCCTGCTTCGCCGTGTCATTCTACCCAAAACGGCACCACCGCTTCCCAACGAGGCCTACTACCTGGCTAAACAAATATGCGATCTCGAGCACCCCAGTGTCGTTCATCTGCGGGATGTCTTCCCCACAAATGACTTCTCTGACAATTGTATGTGCCTCTGAGTACATCTGTCTCCTTCAGAGTATTTTTACTTACCCTTGGACTTTGCACACCTTGCATTACCTATTAATTTTGAGCCTCCTGTATAGTACGAGAGAGCAGTGTTTGCTCTAAGGGAGATAGTACTGAGTGCCATCATGCAAGCATGTTTTAGAGGTCTCGCTTCAGGCTCGCCTCGCCAGGCTACTCCATCTTGTGTTATTGATTTTCAGCTTTAATCGCTTCTAGGCCTTGTAACTTTAGCCGAAATAACGGCTCAGGAACCGTCCTCCTAGTCTCATTATAATTCTGTGCATTTGAACTCCACCATCATAAGGCAACAAGGGTACTTAACAGCCTGTGCCAGGGTCTAATAAGAGTGTTATTGTGATGCTCTTGAGAATTGCGGGCTAGGACACCCCTTGTTGAACAGACAAGTATGCAGCAGCAGTGCTCATGAAACGATATGGGGCTTCCACATTCTTAACAAGGGCAACATAACGTTGAACTACCGCGGAATGGGCAGTTTCGGATACTCCTCTGAGACTCCTGGACTACCATATAATTCATCGATTTCGTTTGAAGTAGGTATTCTGATTGATGATGGCAAACAGTGCTAGAATGACAGTACTATTGGGGCGCTTGCCAATTGCGTTACTCGTCCTATTCTGCCTGTAGGTTCATTCTGGAGCCCCGCCAACAGCCGCACAGTCACTAGTTTGATAGACAGCATATAATTATCTACAAAGGCAAGACAGGGTTGGAATGACCATTTCTAGCTTATCAGCCTTCATCAGCCAGCCATAGCCAACCTCAAGTTTTGCGACCCCAGAGGTTCGAACCCGCGATCCGTCGAGTAGAAGTTCAACGCGAACTATTGAGTCGCGGGCTCATGGTCCCGTCCGTTGCGGTCGGTTTTATTAAAATTGGTGATGGAGCATCCACCGAACTTTGGGGGATGCAACCCATAGAGTTGGGTATGACTGGCTGATAACGGCTAATAAACCAGTAGTAGCCATTCCCATCTCCTTTATCTTCGCTATGCTGGAAAGAGGGCAATCGACGCCTGCTCTGCACTTGCCAGTATAGATTTGTGATGACTCTTTGTGGTTGGTAAACTTGTAAGTGGTACACTTTTGAGTACTTCATCTCCTCCAAGTTGTTTATCTCTGGGTTTATGGTAGTGCATATGGCCAAGTCCATTACCACCGACAGAGTTCAAGTGTCAGGGACTGATACTTATCGCTTGCTTCAGACGCAGTGTGTTGATCCACGCCCTGAAAAGTATGTTATTGCGTGGGTTTTATTTGAGGTTTGGGAGGGAGGAAGCGGCGGTAAATGTGGGACAACAGCTGCGAGGTCACGGGATGAGAGACGGGTGATGTGCTACATCTACTTCCTCTCCCTTGGGTGACGTGAAATTTCACAATCCCGTCGTAACGAGTGTAGGAGTTTCATCTGAGACCAGCCCTGCCTTTTTTCGAAAATTCGGAACTTCCGGTTTTAACGTAACTCTGCCTGCATCAGTCACCCCCTAAGGAGACTGACATATGGCTGCCAGATATGTTTATATTAGACGTTATCGTGAAATTACAACGAGCCAACAGGCACTTTTAACGAATAGCAGAAAACTCATCGGTTTGGTGGACGAAATG